TTTTATAATTAGTTTTTTTCTTGCTTTTTTATTCATGTTTTTCTTTATTTGCTCATAATTTAAAATTTAATAAAATGTCTGACTAAATTCTTAGGATAATTAGGGTAATAGGAAACTACAATAACTTATCTATTAGAATTAGAATTACTCTCTTTTCTGGATTAATTAATTATGTAGAGATTAATCAATTAAAATAATAGTTGATAGAATATTTTAATTTGATATGTTATATTTGCCTTAAGTATTCTAGGATTATTATTTTTAATTGATTATTTATGCATAAAATTTAATTTTATTTTTAGAATCTTAGTAATATATGCTTTCCTTAATTAGATTAGATTGACAGGTTATGCTTTTTAATTCTAAAAACAAATAGCAAAAGAGTAATTTCTAATCTAATAAATAGTTATCTAATGGAATCTATCATAATTTCCTAGTTTAATTCTTTGCACTTTCTCTAGTTTATTTCCTTGTTTTGTTTGTTCATCTTTTCTTTCTTTTTCTAAATCGTTTAGTTTTACATTTTCTTTCTAGTTGTTTTACTTCTCCATTTTTCCCCCTTTTTCTCTTGTTGTTCTTTTTATTTCTTTTATTTTATTTTTCCATTTTCTCTTTTCTTAATTGCATTTTGTATTCTTTCCTCTCTTCCGCTTTCTAGTTCTATTTTCTTTTCTTTATTAAAAATCCAAGACCCTCATTTCAACACATTTTCATATAAACTTTTTTTCAAACAACTTTCAAAAAGTATTTCCAATTTAAAATTTTCAAAAAAAAACCTCCTTGTGGTTCGACATTTTCTATACTATAACTTGATTCTGTACTTGCAACACACTTTATCACACAACATGCACCAAAAGGTTTAAAAAATGGTGTCAAAATGCACAAGGCCAGAAGACCTGTCTGCATGACTAAACCAAATTCGTTTGGAAAAAGAAGCTGGCATTTGTCGTCCATTAAAACTTCAGCTAAGAAGAAACCTGATATAGAGGTAAAGGTCCACATGCTTATAGTTTCTAGCTGAACACGAATGCTTTAAATCAAGATGCTCAAAATGCTGCACTTCTTGGTAATAACCGGTCAGCACAATGGTTAATGTTATTCTTGGATGTCAAAGTGCAACAATAAACTACAACCTTTAACCCATCAAGATGAATAGACACCTAATATCGTGCATGGAAACTGTCAAAGGCTTCTGTCTTGTTGTCATTTTGACTATGCGCATATGGATGAGGATGAGAACTATGCAAACTGCAATCAACTAAAAGACACAACAAGCTCAAATAGGCTGAGATGATGCATCGCATCAGCTAGTCTATGATAGTCTGCGGCTGCAACTAAAATGTCGATTTCTCCTGTCATGATTTGATGATATGTGAATTAGGGATACCTAATTGAAGTTTGAAGTCTATCTGATCAAATGAGATTAATACTTAGTTTAGTCAAGGTTTTCTATTTAAATTAAAGCACATAAGGAAGTCATGTTCCTTTTATAAATATTAAACATCTTCAAATTTAAGTGGGACTGTACAGTATAAAATCCCCATAGCTCTTGAATAATGACTTGGAGTTCTATAGCAATGGTGTCTAAAACAAATGTGGATGGAGCAATTGGAAACTCAGAACATAATGATGTTATGAATTTGATGTAACTGTGGGAAGCTAGTTCCACTTTCTAGCAATAAATTGTACATCGTGACCAGTAAAAAGATTACGGTAAATCCCAAAATTTTGGAGCATTTCCCACAAAACCCCTCTAAACTTTATTTTTCCCACTAA